TTATTATTATTATTATTATTATTATTATTATTATTATTATTATTATTATTATTATTCCCGGATGAATAACAGATAACACTATTTCGGCTTGACGTTGCCAATTCAGTTGGAACATGTTCCATTGAATATATCACCAGAAATATGGTATTTACACGATGGAGTATATATTACAACATTTACAATGTAATTGGAAATGCTGGATTAGATATGGGCTTCATTATTGATCTGCCCATCAGCGGATATGAATTTTCTAGACTTATTTGTGATGCCATATGAAAATGTGGGTGTATTTCAGGCGTAATTGAATACAAGAGCAAATTCGTAAGAGAAATGTTGCCTTAGGAAATAAGAGGAGTGCAGAAAGAGTACAGTCTGCGCATATTTTGAATGTGACGATAGACATTTTGAATATTTATTACAACTTTAAAACATAGCAATTAAAACAATCACATTTTATTTCTCACATTAATTTTCATTTAATGCAATCTGTTTATGTTCTTACGTACGTTTTATACTTATATTATTCAGGGTGCAATTTAAGTATCTAAAGACACTTTAGAGAGTGATTCGTCGAATCAATTTAAGAATGAAAGTTTGTATGAAAACGGATAAAGATAAAATATGTTATAGTTTTTAAAACATATTAAATTAACGCAAATATCTCTGAAGATGACTGACGTGAACTTGAATTAGTGACTTAACTAAGTAAATGTAAAAATTCTTCACTGAATATAATTGTTAACCAGTGGTGGAGATATTAGGAGACATTGCCACTAAGAATCCTAAAATTTCGGAATCATTAATATTTTTTAAATTTGATTAAATGATTTGATTCATAGTTATATTTCATTCAAAAAAGATCTTTTATTTTATTCGATATTCTAGTATTTTTTTAGTCTAAAATAATCTTTCCAGACAGTTGAAACAAATCAACTGTGACTGTAAAAAAATGTATAGAATTTTATTGCGATGAACATATTTGTCAATATTATTATTATTATTAACATAATAAGAGTAGAGGTAAAAACCTATAAAACTCAAGAGCAAAAAACAATATGAAAAAAAAATCTAAAATATAAGCATACAATATAAAATAAAACAGTACTATTGGTACAATACTACAGATTAAAGAGAATGACAAACATATGGAGCAAAAAAAATACTAATATAAACAGGTACAATTATTAAAAATTAAGTACATTATCAAGTTTGTTTTTAAAAGAATTTATAGAAGAAGCACTTACAACACTGTTTGGTAAAGAATTCCAGTCATGAAACATACGGTTGCTCAAAAAAACTGCCTACATCTGGTTGTATAATTCTGATGGCTAAGCTTGTAATGGTGACCACGAAGTCGAGTATGAGCAGATAACACATATAAATGTGATGAATTTGTGGAATATGTGCCATGGAGAATGCGATATGTGGTGATCAGATCGCCACGCTTAAGCCTTTCGATTTCTGGGATTAGTTTGAAGATATTTAGTCTTTCTCCATAAGAAGGCCGAGAAATACCATAGGGAAGTCTGGTGGCGGCACGTTGTAACAACTCAATTTGAAATTGGTCTCTTATCAGATTTGGATACCACACAACTGAACCATACTCGATGATAGGTCTTATGTAGGATTTATATAAGCAATTAGTAGTTTTAATTTAGGGAGTAGATAATATTTTTTTGAAAAGAAATAACGAGCGTTTAGCTTTATTGCAAGTAGCAGTTATATGAGCTGACCAAGAGAGGTCATTAGAAATCACTACACCAAGATCAGTTTGCCTGTCCACTTTTGACACTGGAACGCTACCAATTTGATAATGTAATCTTGGGTTGTTCTTACCCAAGTGCAAAACTACACATTTTTTGGAGTTCAGCGATATTAACCATTTTTGGCACCAATCTGCTACAGCAATCAAGCTTTCCTGCAAAAGTTTATAATCAGTAATAGGATTCCCATAAATCTTTGTATCATCAGCATACAGCGAGCATTTAAGTGGCAATGTTGGCAAGAAAGAGTAATGGGCCAAGAACTGAGCCTTGAGGAACTCCACTTTTAACAGAATAGTATTCCGAGACGTGAGTTCCTATTTTCACACGGAAAAAACGATTGTTTAAAAACGCAACAATCCATTTGTGAAGATCACCTCTAATACCTGCATATTCAATTTTAGAACAGAGACGTTTTATGGGTACTTTGTCAAAGGCCTTGCTAAAATTAAGAGATATGATGTCAGCACTTTGACCACTATCAATTGTGATGGTCCAGTCGTTTAAACATTGTAGCAAATTGGTGGTTGTTGATCTACCAGGAAGATTAAGAGAAAAATAATCAGCAAAGATGTCAGCCGTTTCCTGATTATTATTTGACAGAGTATTATTGTCCTTTCTAATAGATGGAATGGTTACAGTCGATGATAGATTTTTATGAATATATTTATGTAGGTCCCTTTTATTATCAGATGTGATAAGGCGGTTCTCATAGTCTTTCTTGGCCTTATTGAGTTTTTACGTAAGAGGGTTTGAAAAGCGTTTGTGTGCTAAATAGTCAGTTTCATCTCCTGAACGCCGAAATCTACGCCAGTGTTCTCTTGTGCCTTATTAAAGAGAATATATGACCAGTTATCCGTGGCCTACATAAATCTTGTTCAAGGTCTAAAAAGATCATTGGCGGAGAAATTTAGAATTTTGTTTAATTTCAAAAAGTGCAAATTTCTATGTTCATGATTTTTTGTACTTTTGATGATTACATTGTGATTAAAATTATATTTTTGAGACATTCTTCGAGCTGTTTCTAGACAAGTAGATTAGAATCACTGTTAATTTATTAAACTGTCTGAAAAACTTATTTCAGATTTAAAAAAATATTCACCTGAAAAATGCTCGTTTTCCGAATAAAATAGAAGAAAACTTTTTATTTTAATAAAAAAAACATTAGGAATAAAATGTATCGATCAACTTTCCAAAATACTCAGTAGTGTCGAAATTCTGAGGTCCTTAGTTGTAGTGTCTTCCAGTATCTTCGCCAATATTCTTAAGTGAATTTTAATATTTACGTAGTGGATTCATTAGACCAAGTTTCATCAGTTTAAGTTAAATATTTTCAGAGATATTTACGTAAATGTTATACTTTTCAAAAACTTTAACACCCTGTGTTTCAAAAATGAAACTATTTAGAACATGAACTTAACCAATAACAACCGTGCAAAAGCTGTTGTCAAATCAATCAAACTTTATGATACTATTATGTAACATGTTACAGCGACTGTAAGTGATAACTTTCAACTTTTTTTAGTAACAAATCAGTAATATTGCAAACAGTATTAATTATATTTACGTGCGAGATAGGAGGATGCCTATAATTTATTATAGGCATTTAATTACTTTAAAAACTGTTCAATTTTACACGGGGTGGTGAAAATTTATTACCGAATTTGCTTTACTTCGAACCACCAAAACTTGGTTTTTCTAAATTGAACACCCCGTATATTTAATAAAAAACTGTTGTAGAATTTTACCCTCTATCTATCCATTTTAAACTTCCCTATACCCACCTCTCTTAATTTTTTTATTATTGACGGTTGTTGTGATAAGTTATTAAAATGATCGAATTTCTTGCGAGGATGGCTGTGAAATAGCTAGCAAACTTAAAATAAATATGACCAATATGACATAAGTCATCATTTGCTGTTAATCTGGTAGTGATACTTGGTTAAATACTGATTTGAAAATAACGAAAATACGTATTTAAATGTTGACATTTTAAATTTATTATTTATTCATGGGCAGTGCAATGGAATTATAAAAAGAACATGCATTTTTAATGAAATATTTTCCAATTTACCACCAATAAGCAGAAAAAAATTAAGAAGGATTTTAAGAAATCAAATACAATTTAGTAATTTCGAACGTCAACATTTGAATACGGTTTTTTCAATTATTTACAAATCAATATTTAACTACCATTGTCAGACTAACAATAAGTGATGACTTATGACTTATTGGTTGTTACGTTTTTAAGTTTGCTAGAAATTTCACAGCCATCCTCGGAAGAAATTGGGTTATTTTAATTTTCGCCATCCTGTGTAAAATTAAACAGTTTTTAAAGTAACTATAATAAATTACAGACATCCCTATTTCCCTCCCAAATATCAATACTTCAGCTTGCATGATGTAAAAATAGGCAATTTTGAATTAGACTACCAAAAAGCAACTTTTTTTGAAAGAACTGAAATGTCTCGGAGACCATTAGAGATAGATATAGTGAAGCTTGATGATTTCCCTCAAATTATGCGTAGAATCCAAATATACAAAAATATATAAGGTATTTTATTTGTAAAGTCCAAAACCTAAATTTTCCAAATGGAAATAGTCTCTGAAATATTCTAATGGGCCATCACCGTAAGACAGCCTGTATATTCCTGTAAAAGCTACACTTGTATCTTTTGATATTTTTTATCATTATAAATTTACAGCACTGCAAGAAAATTACAGAATAGCACCATTAGCCAGTAGGTTTCTACATGAGCAAGTATTGTATATCTTATATTTATTTTTAGACTCCCAAATGCACTTATTGGCTCTCAGTATGTGAGGTAATGCTTACAGACAGTGCCAGCTTTAGGATGTGCTTCAAATACGATGACACTGGCAAGTTCGCGCTTGACCGAGTTGGAAAGATGAGCGAGCGCACGGATGTGAAGTAATTCCTCGAATATTGTCTCTAGGTCATCTGGTGTCCTTTCATGGCTCCTATAAAACACAGACCTACATTACTAAACACTACAAAAGGTAGACATGTACAAACAGATTTTTTTAATAACCTGTCTGGACTTTATGGGTGGTCTAACAAATTAAGGATCCAGACTAGAGTCTGGAGTAGTATTTCTCAAACTTTATCACATCACGGAATACGGAACATGTAACTATAGTTAAATAAAAGCAGCATTTTATTATTATGGTACAGGGTTTTTCTAAAATATGGCGCGAAACTGAAGTGGGAGATAGTGTATGTCATTTTAAGCAAAAAGTAATTTAGAAGAAGTTAACAAAAAGTTACAGGTTGATGAAAGTGTACTGCAAATCTAATCCAAATGAAACAGGACGCAGATTTTTAAAGAATAGTTTTAAAAACGTAAAAACGTTAACAAAAAACAAAAAGACAATGGCAATGTGTACATACATTTTGATAATAGATATACAGACAGGGTGTTCCAATTAAAATTTCCCACCTCAGACACGTCGATTTTCTTTAAAGCTTTTCCAATTCTGCTCACGACGACATACGACGTTTGAATTTTGGTTTGGATATGACAATAAAATCGTCACTTAAGGAATAAGACAAAATATCAATTAATGAAAGAATGTTATTATATTAAGTGTTCAAATTGGTTTCCCTGCGCTTCCATACAATAATAAAATATTTGCTCCACTTCCGAACGAACATTTCGAGCATTTCGGGTGTTATCTGATGACATTCTCCAACATTTTCTTCATAAAAAAATGTTTTGATTTTTCGTTTATATGTAAATACAAAAAACTTCATACTCTATCAGTTCAACCTGTTTTACTTTAAACGAGACAATATTGTCTTGTCTTCTCTTATCGAGACAATATCCCGTAAAATCATCATCAAGTCGATTGAATTCCAATTCGTGAAAATGGTTTATACAATTGCTGAAAAAGTGGAAATAATTAGTTTGTCTTACAAGAATAATGACTGCGCACGGCAGGCAACACAGATTTTTAATGATCGTCATCCTGAAAAAACACTTCGCATCGACACGTCCTGGATTTAGTCCAAAAATTTTCAGAAGTTGGATCGGCTGCAAAGAGAAAGCATCAACTTGAACAGGACGTACGTAATGAGGGTAATCAGGTAGCTAGCTGTGCTGGGTCAAATCGCAATTGAACCAAATTTGAGTCTCAGGAAACTTGCAAGTATTTCTGTACCTAGTTGCCGCCGAATTTTTAAAAGTTCATAAGTATCACCCCTTTAATATTAATGGTATATATTGGTATAAGAAATTAATGAGGACGATCTTGATCTCCCCTTGCAGGTTTGTGAGGAAATGAGTGATCGTGCTTGAAGGAATCCAAATTTTTGTATTCAATCTGTTCTTCCTATTAATGTACGTTCTAACTGGATGGTCGAGTCAACCGCCAAAATTGCCGTTATCCCAAACCAAAATTTAAAAAGTCGTATGTCGTCATGAGCAGAATTGAAAAAGCTTTAAATGAAGTGTCACTCAACATAGAGTGCCATTTGAAGTTTAAGGGTATTTTATGCCCCTGCCTAAGGGGTAGCTTCCAAGACACCAAAACTTACGCCATCACGTGTCTCCCTTCAAAAGAAAATCGATGTGTCTCAGTTTTTTTTTAATTCCAATATTTTCCAGGTGGGAAATTTTAATATGAATACCGTTTTGAAAATTTAAAGATTTTTAGTTATCATATTCTAATAAAACACATTTATTAGACTTGATTAATCGTTTACGAAATATTTAAAACATTTTGGAAATTTTGTAAAATGAAAAGGAACAGTATTTGGTAGGTTTGGACCAATTGACTTATTTTAACCTCATAAATTTCCCGCTATGCTATGTTCTATTCTTAATGAAGGAAATATTTTACATTTTATATATGATACTAAAGTGATCCAAGGAATGTTTCCATCCGGATTATTTTGAGACTACTAATTTTCTATAGGAAACTGAAACATCACTTTGTTTTAAAAGTAAATCTCAAAACAGATTTTATTTTTTATTGAAAAGAAGGAAATAGTAAATAAAGAATTTTTAAAGTGATGTATCACCTAATCTTTGTTGCCATTTAATTGCTATAGCGCAGAAGCAAATGACAAAGTAAAAAATATTAACTCTCTGGCAATCAATCTTAAACTCTTTCGGAGTTTCGAGGAAAATTAATTGTTCTCAAAATAATCTAGGGGAAAAATTGGACAACCCCGACATTAATATGCTGAAGTTTACATTTAGGAAAAAAAGAGGTTACAATAGGTACAACTTTTAACATTCTAAACTAAAATATAATTAATGACATATTATTACGTACTGTTTCCTAAGTATCATTCTAAGTAAAGCGTCTGGTCCTCTGTGTATCAGTAGTCCTAAAGAGTCTTGAATTTGGTCCTCAGCGGTTGCTACATCTTCCAAGGGGGGTAGAGCCGTTGCACCTTCCTCGTCTTGCCAGAAGCGATACAGGAAACATTTGTCTTTAAAGGGCTGCTCCTTGTTAACTGCAAGTTTGTTCCTTATTTATTCACACGAAATTAATCGGGCAGAGGATTTAGATAAGATCAGAATTTTGAATAATATTTGCAAGAAGTTTTACTAATGCGTAGAAGAGACATTTTATTTTTAGTTTATTCAAATTAAATTCTATTTAATAACATAAACATATTTTGGTTAAAATAGTAAGGTAAACTATCAGTTTTCTTTGAATAACGGTGATAAATACAGAGTGAAATAGCAATATTGCAACAAATTTTCAAAAATGATTCCCTTTTTCTTTCTTCAAAGAATCAACATTTAACATAGTTTTAGATCGCCTACTTAAAAACCATTGAAGATATTGACTTTAATATTTAGACAGTGCATTTCCCACCTATTTGAAAAAGTTTAACAAAAACTAACTGCCGACGTCGAATTTAGAAAGAATATGAGAGTTTCCAATCAAAACAATTTTCACAAGAAATAGTCCAAAAGTCACGAGAATATTAGGAGTATTTAACGTTTTTCACAAATACCCACGTGTTTGAACGAAAGTTAACCGAAACGATACAGGGTGATCTATTAGCCTTGTTAGAAATTTTTAGGGAGTATTTTTCTGATATACAGGGGCAAGTAGGGGAACCCAGAATATGGTGATGTAACGAAATCTACTTAATGTCGATTAATGCTCTCGGCGGCAAGTATAACTGAGATATTGATTTTTTTCGAAATTTGAAACATTCAAGGCCTATAACTTCTCAAGGGTACTTAGTATAAAGGTGAATTGCGTTAAATCACCATATTTTGGATTCCTCTACATATCCCTGCTCTCTGTCGGTTTTTATGCGAAACATCCTGTATATGAACAAAAATATAAACCGGTCCGAAATGCACCATTTTCGAGATAAGAACCTTTCAATTTTTTTATATATTTTTTTAACTTTTAATAAAAATATTTGAAGATAACAAATACTGTTGTTAAAATTTCATATTTCCTTAGACTATGAAGTTAACTACATAAAAAATTGTACTTTCTTAATGATTTTTTACAACAGAAGTGTGGTGTTTCAAATTCATTTTAATTAAAAAGTTAGCACAAAGAAATAACTAAATCTGAATATAGTTCATATACAAAAATAATAATAGACTTAAAGTACACATAAAAAATATGTAAACATATATTGTTAATACTGCTAAAACATAATTAAATAAATTAAGAAAATAACATCTTGAAGATGAAGTTGCGTTTAAAATAGAAAATAATATTCCAATAAGAAAAAGTGTGTTTGCAATCTGGTGGTGGAGGCGGACACTTCGAACTAAGGCGAACCTTCAAAGCATATAAAGAGGACCAATAATTCCGAAACCGGTCTAAACGGTAATGTTAACTAAAATTCCCTAAATATTAGAGTTACCAATATTAATGGTTCGTTTACAATGAACAATGACAAACCGTTACGTTTATGCTCGCGATAATGCGATCATGATTGGTTGAATAAAATCTCGAAGGATATAAATAACTATTCCAAATAAAATGACTGGTCACGTGGCTTGTAATCACGTACGAAGGTTCTGTAAATATCGCTGATATAATTCAATGCTGGGGGCAAGTAGCTCGCAGAGTAGATGTTCCTTCAATATCGTCAGTTAAAGAAATGATGTTTGAATTAGTATAATGTATTAAGTAAAATAGTATTTAGAAGTAATGATCTTTTAAAACCTTAAACAAAATTTTTCTTTATTGGATATGGTTTTCCGTTGTCTTTTCCAAATATGGCCATTTTAGGACGGATTCATTATTACACCAACCCAATAATGCTTATTTAACATTTTTATTTTTTGAATTGCAGCAGAATTGTATCGATATAACTCTGATATTATATGCTCAATTGCAAAAACTACTTCATATCAATATATGTACCTATTCGTACGAAAAAAGCAAATATTTCTTTAACTCTTTGTTTATTTCCATTGACATCCACTTTCGGAATATTGCTCATTGACAATTTCGTGTACTTACACGATGTTCATGATAAGGATGTCTATCATACAGATATCGAAAATGGTTAAAGATATAGGGTAGCCCAAACTAGAGAAAAGTAGAGCCATTAGAAGACTACTGAAATGGGGTAAACATTTTTTATGTTTTGAGATATTTTGAAAAATCATTCTTTTCGATTCCATATTTGGTTTTATTTACTGACGTTATTAAGAACATTTCTTTATGATAGAGTAAAGTCGGGGATTATGGAATACCACTTTTATTTATCGAATTATTTCGAACAGTATTTCATAAAATATAAATAAAAAAAATGGTAATGGCTTGGCCAAAAGGTTTATTATATCGAACTATAATAACAAAGTTAAAAAATACATACATAAAAAAAATTTCGTGTTAGTGGAAAAAGGTACATTTCTGGTTGCCGAAAAAATGGTCGGGTAATACGAAATATGTATATGGGGTATTATGGAATACTATTATATTTCCAAAATTAAAGATACTATCTACAAAAATCGCAAATATAGTAATCGCGTTCGGCATCGGCGCACAGTTCGTGTGCTCAAAGCTCGCATCTAAGGCACCGTATCCATATTTCTCCCCTTAAGTCAGCCTTAAAACGTCCTAGACAGAAAAGGTATTCTGCATCGTCTTCTGGGTTACTATCAATATTCGGAAATTCTTCATCATCAGTAGAGTCATCCAAGGGAGGGATACTTTTATTTAAATCATCAGAAGATGTGTCGTCTTCGTCGAAGAGTCGGGTAATATGGGATACTATTTCATAATTGCCGCCTTTATAAATTTGGGAGTTAGGTTACAAAAAAAAAATACAAGTTATCTAAAATGAGCAGTATCCCTACATTTTAGCTTTCATACATCATTCATTAACCTAATTAAACAATAATATCAAATGAAAGCACCTTCAAAAGTGTTTATAATAAAACTTTAATGTACTTACCAAAAGTTATTATGTGCACCGAAATCAGATCAGCTGTCAACAAGACCACACGGTTAATGCCTATGGACTAAGCACTCTTGTGGGAGAATCTTGAACTCATTTGAATGATATTATAACACGTGAGCATAGATGGAGCTAGTAGTTCAGCCAAAAATATGGTATTCCATATTAACGGATATATTTCATAATCCCCGACTTTACTCTAACCTTTATATTCTTTCATGAATTTTCTCTTTTAAAATGTACCTTATTGAGATACTTGAGGTGTTTGTGTGATTTGTTACATAACGGTTTAAATACATTTCAGTCATTACCGGAAGCTAGAGAAAAAAATTATAACAACAAATTACTTTAATTAAAATAACCAAATAAAACTATTTGAATTATAAAAACGGTTCAAATTGAGCTTTCTTTGGTTCTTTGAAATATCTGAAATATAAAAATGTACTTTTGTGGACGTTCACATTGCTGCAGTGGTTCTCTAATGGAACAAGTTTTTTTTAATTTCAGCAATCCTTAACCGTTTTCTATATTCTCATGATTGACATTCATACCTTTACACTAGGGATACTGTTTAAGGATTGCTGATTCTGAATTCAATATTAATCGCGAATTTAGTCAAAAAACAACTGAGATTTATTGAAATGACAGGTAATAATTTTATATTTTTATTATTATTTTTTTATTAATTTCATGATTTAGGTACACTGATGTTAGAGAGAATGGGTTCATGCAACAATATTTTTTTAATTTGCTTAACGGAAAGATATTGCAATTTTAAGGTTCTCTGCAAAAAAAACTAGAATTTTATATCGCTTACAAATCATTAAAAAAAATCATAAACTGGCGCGCTGAGTATCCACTGAAGCGGCGGGTGTGACGTCACCGCATGGGAAACCGCTACCGCATGATACCATAAGATACCGAATTTTGGTTAGCAATATGGAAGACACAGAACAGAAAAAAATTACACATAATATATTGTTCCCTAGTGTGAAAGCACTAGTATGAATACACCTAAGAAAATATTTATTAGCATATCATGAGGATCTAAAATTAATAGTCTATTAGTCTCTACTCTGATTTGTTTTTTTATGTCTTCTATTTGAAAAATGACTTACTTTGAAAGCAACAAAATTACCCTGTGTAATTTAGGTATGTAATAAACACGTTTGTATCCTCTAGAAACACTAAACTTGTGTTAGTGTACTAAGTATTTAAATAAAAATACATAATAATAAATAATATATATTATTAATATATTTATAAGATATTAGGTAGATTTATGTAGTTTCTCATGGGAATAAAAATAGTAATAAGAATTTTACATTTGATTTTGATTAGGTAAATCTTTGAAACCTGTGACAGAAACGGTTTCGTCCAAAAATCCTTATCCTTATTTACTATTCTTATTGTACAAAAACATCAAAACTTTCGCTACAAACGTACTTTATATATAAGCTTTACACGTTATTGAAACGTACCTTTTTTACCTTTGTATTGTCACTCTTCTCATCTCAGCACTGAAAAAGTAGTGGCTTTCATTGAAAAAATCCATAACGATTATAAACCTACTTCTGGCAAATTAGAAGAATCTGCTTTTACGAAATTTGCTTCATTTTTTAAATTCAATATACTCAAACGCTAAAACATCTATGTGGTAGATACTGCAACGGTTCTATAGTCTGCAGATACAGAAACTCATCTGAAAGTAGCATACGGCGCGCGCCAGGCCGGCTGACCGTCCCATGCGATGACGTCATTGCATTGCCACGACTGAGATAAATATTCGCATTTTAAAAATCATACAGTTTGAAAACCGCTCAACGGATTGAGTTGAAATTTTCAGGATTGCCTAATCATGAGCAATACTTTGTGTAGAGGGTTTTTGAAAATTTACTGAATTTTCTTTTCTATATTTCTATAGAAATTATCTATAAATATGGCCTGTAAAAGGAAACTAAAAACTAATATATTCAAACATTTCACATAAGCTTCCATTTATTAATCAAAAGTCAAATAAAAACAGAATAGGAACAATACAAAGAATTTTAAAAATAAATTGT